AAAATAATAAACACTTAGTAACTTTAATCAAAATTAGTAAAACAAAATAAAATTTAAAGAATTTCATACCACAATTTTGTTTTTGAACGATTTTGTTCGGAAACATTTTGTTTGTAAATGTGTGAATATTAAATTAATTAGTTTTGCTAGACATTCATTCATTGTCTTTTTTTGTGCTTTTAATATTTTTACTGATCAAAAATACTTGTAGTTTCAACACAACTTCAACATTTTTCCAATTTAAACTTTGAAGTTTTGGTTTTGATACACGAAAAACTGAAACAAGAATTTAAAAATAATTTTTTTTTTCAAAAATAGTAAGATTCGCGCTTGTCCATAAACAACAGCAATAATGTCGTTTTTGACTCGCCAATAAAACCAAACTGCCACACCTAACAACTTTACCTATCCCAAGTTTTTTTCTGTTCGTCTAAAAATAAATTTATGCAAAATAGATTTCACGATGGAAAGAAACCTGATATTGTGATAGGTCAACATGTATGCATCTTGAACAAAAACAGGTCTTCTTCAACAATCAGGGGGGCCAAAAAAATACAAGAAAATAAAGAAAGGTGCACCTTGAGAGTTATTAAAATAATTAAGAAATCTAGATCTGTTTTTGTTGAAGATTCCTTTCTAATACACGCTCTTTTATAAAATTGAGCCTTGGGGCGATCTGGTTAATTATTATAATGTTCTGAATTTTAATTAATTGAGGACACTCTTTAGATAACTAACCTTTACCAATCTCAATTCCGGTTCTAATCCTGAGTTATTGTTCCTAAATCAGTGCACTTTTGTCGCCGATTTATGCAAACTTTCAAAATTCTAAAGGCCAACCGGTATTATTTATAATTTTCATCAGTGTTAAAAGTTGAAAGGTGGTTGTCATGCAGTGAAAAATGCAGCATTTCGAAGCTCAAATTAGGATGCAGATGATGAAGATAAAAATAAACACTGTTGTCAGCACAGTTACAATCTAATCTTTCGATAATACCAACGATATAAAACATATTAAGGAGATAAAATTATGCAAATCTATTTTTAACGGTAATTATCATATAAAAGTCATCATGTCTATCTTGCACAAATGGTTAATAACTGATGACCTTATGTCTCCCTATATGCCACTCGTCAGACAAACGCATAATTATCATGTTGCATTCTTGTTTTAGCCTACCAAAAATAACAGTTACTTTATGTTTATAATCAAAATCAATGCATTTTATAAATTTGGTAGAACACAAGGTAACACATTTTGTCTTTTAATGGCAGTTTATGGTCATGTTCATGTTTATGTTCATTTTTGTCTTTGTTGGTATTCTTTTATGTTTATTTTCATTATTGACAGCTTAATTCGGGAAGAACGAAAAGTTAATTTTTTATTTATGTTGTTATGTTATTAAAAACTTGTTTCAACGACTTATCCAAGCTAAAAAATCTTAAACATTTGGCGAACAGTTCAGTAAAATAAATTCAGCCTTGGTTTAAATTCAAAAAGGTTATCAAAAATGTTGAAATACGTAAATAGAAGTCATTTTAGGTTCCGAATTTTAAAGACACAAAATAACCGAAAATCTGTGGAAGTGCAACAATATTTCAGCAGTGATTTTAATTTTTTTATTTTGGAAAATAAAATTGACAATGAGTGGATTCGAGGAAACCACAATCACAATGAGGTCTTCCAGTGAAATTAATTTATTCTCATTATATTATGTGTCACCCACTATCCACCACCAGTGTAACACAGCAGACAGTAGACTCTAGACGGTATTATTATGAAACTGGTTTTTACTTGTTGAATTCACGATCTAAATTCATTAATAGTAGCATAAATATGGATGTAATAATAATTGGAGTCGAGGTGACATTTTTCGAATTCGTAGGAAACAAGAATTTTCTGCATGAACAAATTAAAAAATAATATTAATACTTCAGTAACTTTCCAATTGACAGCAACAAAAAAAAACACAAAATTTCAGTAACCATGCCCAAAACTAGCTTAAGAATTTCATACAGGAGAAACAATACTAAAATTTCTCGAGTTGTTTTTCCCCTAGACCCTTCAAATTGCATGCTTTTAGTTGCCTATATCAAAGCTCCATCTGCGACAACTATACAGAGAATACAAACACCCATTGAGTAATTAATAGAGCATATTATGTGTTTCACACCTCTTGAAACACCGTGGAGAGGCACACATGTAACGGAATATTAGCCAAATTGATTAAAGTCTTAAAATGCATAAAACAGGAAGCTTTTTGATATAATCCTGCCTTAATTAACAAATCCAAGGACCGTATTTGATTCTTATTGTTACACAATTAGTAAAAACATAGTTAATCCTAGAGTTTTTTGAAGTATAAAATGTATTTTTTTATTTTTTCTTGACTCAAAAGTTTTTTTTTTGTTTTCACCACAGCAATAAAAAGACAACAAATCAAGTTAGATATCAATTAAATATCAGTAAGATTGAGAGTGCACTGTTTTGAGAAAAAAATTTTAGAAAGAAAAGTCTACAAAAGAAGCAAACTCAAGAAGCAACTGATGTGCTGAAGGTCTAATATTTTTTTGATAAGATAAACAAGAAATAAAGCTACTAAAATAACTCCATATGTAAATGTGTGATTATTTGAGTTAGACATTAATCAAATAATATAAATAAAGATTAAAGTTTTTTTGAAAACAATAATCAAAGACAATATTGTATCACAATGAAGCTGTTACAATGTAAAAAAAAATTGCAATGAAAGTAATTGAAAATGTTACTTTGTTCCAAAGAGGTGAATATTTATCATTATTGCTTGTCAATGAAACATCAAATTTTCCTCACGTGCCTATATTAATTCTTTGATCATAAAACTCTCAACTGAATCATCCAAGCAAAAATAAAATGAGATGAAGATCCTTTGTGGTATAATCTTGAACAATGAAATGAGAAACATTGAAATTTTTTTCGTCTACCTACACCCTAAGACTGCACAAAGGGACTCAGAGTGTTAAAAAATTAAGATAATGGAAAACTCAGTTTCCGAGTTGGATGTGACTAAAAGTCAGCGGAAATTCCAAAAATACTTCATGTATTGAAAGAGCGCAACTTAACAACAGAAACTAAACTTAAAAATGATCACAGGAACGCGAGCAGCTTGAAGTCCATAAATAAATTATTTAAAAAATTATAATTTCTTATAGATTTTGAGACTAAGTTCAAAAAAAATTATTTAAAAAATCCAACATGCCAAAAACCGTTAAGCAACAAATTGAAAATGAGTTGTTTTATTTTGTTTTTTATACTTTTTGGGATCAGTTTCCCAACGTAATCCCCTAACAAATATTCATCCCAAAAACCTTGTGTCGATATTCGAAAATCTTCAAATCTTGATGAAAACTCGCTTTGGTTTTGGAAGTTTTGAAGTTTTTAGTAAAACAAGTCCAAACGCAAGTCAATTAAATGTGTTTTAAGACCTATTTAAGACCCATCTGCTGATAATTTTGCAATAATTTAAATACATTTTAAATCGGAGGTATTCGTGCAAAAAGCAAGAAAATTATTGTTGTGACGTGATAAAAAATTAACTGTTATTTTTGCTTGATCAAAGGTAAATAAACATAAAAATAATAATTTGATTAAAGTCATATTAAACAAGTTATTATTTGTAAATTAGTGTAATTTGTAAAAAGAAGGCAAGAAAAAATTTGCTTTTATATTTTTGCATTGACAAAACATTTTTTTAATTATTGTATTTATCAGACTTTTT